TTATAATAAGATATATATATATATATATATATATATATATATATATATATATATAAAATCAATGTTCTTTCAATTTACTGATATACTCTAGCTATCATCCAGTTTCCCAGGTTGTCTCATTAAGTTGTTTTATCTAGGTCTGTTTTTCCTTGCAGAGCTCTATGTACTCAGCCTTTTCTACTGAGCCTACCCCACAATCAGAATTCAGAATATATTGACTTAGTCAGTATTCTATTCTCTTTGGATCTTCCAACCTGTGAGGCAAACTGGTCTAAAAATAACTGCTCTGAATTTATATAAAATCTATGCCAATAAATTTGTATCCTTCCTTTATCTTCTTCCTAAAAAGTCCTCAGAGAGTCTTAGGATACAAATAATAGATGTGTCTTTGGACAGCTGAACTTTTCTGCTTTTCCTAAAATCAGACCATAAAAGAGGATGCCTATTTTGTACATAAATTCAATACTAACCTTCTAAGTATATTTTGAATATATTACATATATTCACTGTTGCCTTCTAAAACTATTAGCATAGGTTTGTCTATACTAGCAAAAGAATCAGAAAAATATAAATAGTTCTATGAATTAAGTTTTCAAAAACAGAAGATCTTTTTATTGCAATTTATTAGGTTATTGAATAAAAATTTAGTTTTAGTTCAAATTTCTCAGTGATTGCCTTCAGCTTGCATTGTCTATAAATGTCTAGTTAAATATTTGACTTTATATTAAGCATTGCACAGAATTGGTGATTTCAACAAAAAATTTCTAAAATGTGTGTGAGTTATTATGTATACATAGAATGTCTGATGCAGACATTACTTTAATGCAAAAGGTTCCATCCCACATTAGCAGTATAAACATAATTTGTGGAGCTGGAGTTGTGGCTCAGTGGTAGAACACTTGCCTAGCATGTGTGAGGCACTACGTTCGATCCCCAGCACCACATAAAAATAAAAAACAAATAAAGGTATTGTGTCCATCCACAACTGAAAAAAAATCTTTAAAAAATAAAAAATAAACATAATTTGTTACACAAAATTAATATGTGATTAATAGCAATGATAAGCAATCCATGTGTCTGCATTTATTAGGGATTTTCCATGTTTTATTTAACTTTACATATTCATTTTTGTTAAGTGCTATAATACTTTCATTAAGACACTGAAAATTCCCTTTACATTATTGTCCAGTGATATATTTCTATCATTTTGCAAATACATTTTATGAGCAAAGTCCTGGGTTTGATCCTCAGCATCACAAAAGAAAAACATTTAAATACAATGAATAGGTATGTTTAATTTTTTCCTTTATCTTCTGTCATTATAATTTTTATACCCTCAAAACAAATAAATAGTCCTTGAATAGTTAAGGTTAAAGTTATCAAATTTGGAACTATTACTAAGGAATGAACACATAAAGTAGAGAAAAATTAATAAATATTTATAATTGGTCTTCTAAAGATTAATTCTTCTCTATAACTTTCCACTTTAATATGCATATATAAGTTGACTAGATAGGTTTAATAATATCTTTCAGAACTAGTTTGCTTCTGTGCTAAGTATAAAATGAAGACTTCAGTAATTTCATGTGCCATATAAAATTTTCCCTTCAAGCCAGCTTCACCAGAAGATAAAGACATGCCACAGATGCTAAATAAATTTCTGCATTAAACAAACAAGTTAATCTAGAAGCCCAATGTAGTCTTTTTTTTTAAAGAGAGAGAGAGAGAGAGAGAGAGAGAGAGAGAGAGAGAGAATTTTTAAATATTTATTTCTTAGTTATTGGCGGACATAACATCTTTGTTTGTATGTGGTGCTGAGGATCGAACCTGGGCTGCATGCATGCCAGATGAGCGTGCTACCACTTGAACCACATCCCCAGCCCCCAATGTAGTCTTAATAAAAAGTGAGGCAGCTGGGCAAACATCTCAAATACAATATGATTGTATACAGAATATCACTTATTTGTGAAGATTTACAAGAAATATTTCCAGTATTAAAAAACTGTTAAGACACTCAATAACAACCCTTAATAGGATTTATTGTGAACAAGGTATAAATCTGGGTTTTTCCATTTTCTTTCTTTTCTGCAGAGCTGGGGATGTGAACCCAGGGCCTCATATATGCTAGGCAAACACTCTACCACTGAACCACATCCCCAGCCTCTTTTTTCTTTTATTTATTTATTTATTTATTTTTTAAAAGAGAGAGAGAGAGAGAGAGAGAGAGAGAGAGAGAGAGAGAGAGAATTTTAATATTTATTTTTTTTAGTTCTTGGCGGACACAACATCTTTGTTTGTATGTGGTGCTGAGGATCGAACCTGGGCCGCGCTTGAGCCACATCCCCAGCCCTTTTTTCATTACTTATTTCTTTTGGTGGTACTGGGGATTGCACCCAGGGTTGTTTTACCACAGAGCTACATCCTCAGACCTTTTTTTTTTTTTAGTTTTCGGTGGACCTTTATTTTTATTTATTTATATGTGGTGCTGAGAATCAACCCACACATGCTAGGCATGCGCTCTACCACTGAGCCACAACCCCAGCCTCAACCTTTTTATTTTGAGATAGGGTTTTACCAAGTTGCCCAGGCTACCTCAAATTTGTGAACCTCCCGCTTTGGCCTCCCAAGTCTCTGGGATTACAGGTGTGCTCCACTGTGCCAGGCTATTTATTTTTTTGAGACAGATTTTCACTATTTTTGTCAAGGATGGCCTGGCCTGGTCTCAAACACAATCCTATGCCTCAGCCTCCCTAGTAGCTGGGATTACAGGCTACCAGCACCATGCCCAGCTTTAAATTTGGATGTTTAAATCCCCTAAAATACCTGATAACAATTTCAGATTTCCCCCCCTCTTTTCTGACATGGTGACTGCATTCTCAGTCAGATGACTTCTTTGGCTGAATTGATGGGTAAATAGAGAGAAATAGCAGAACATAGCGTATCTTTTGTGCCTGTACTAAGTAACTTACATAAAATGAATGGCAAACTCTGTATATCATTAAATTAGCTTGGCCATCCCTCTGATGAAAGCTTTTCTAAGCATAGACAAGACCTTCAGAAGGAATGGGCTATTCAGTTTTGGAGTGCTTGCTATCTAAACTTCAGTAATAGGGGCTGGGAATATAACTCAGTGAGTCAGATAAGTACTTAGCATGGGCAAAGTCCTGAATTCAATCCCTAATACCAACAAAACAAAACAACAAAACAAAACACCCCTCCCCATCTCCAATTATAGAGTGATAACTAATATTTCCTTACCATTCAGCATCTCTTTGGATATTAATACTAGACAGCATTCCAAGTAATTCCTCAAATAGTTTCAGGTCTGATTATAATTGACAAATGAAACCTTTGATTCTCTGATCTTTAATATACTAAAAATACTGTATTTCACTCTGAAGGTAAAAGTTTTTATATTTTATTTTCCTCTTTTTTGTTCTCAAATTCATCACTTTCACCTAGCCTCATTTGTTGCCTAATCGCCACTATTTTTCTCATTTCTTAAAAAAAGATGCCAGTGAGAATCTGGTCTGTTTTTCTAAGGAATTGGCCTTTAAGGGGCTATAAGTAGCATGAGTGAGTGGAAGCAACTTAGGAAGTCATGACTCCATGTCCCAAATCTGTCTCAAAATACGACAGACAAATTAGTTAATATTGCTGGGTCTCAATTTCCTAATATAGGAAAGGAAAAACTTGAACTATATGAATTTAAAGACATATACCAACTAAAAACATTAGTTTATTAAAAATGGATTTTTTGTTCATTTTTTCATTTTTAAAAATTGTGGTTAAAATATAAAATGTATCATTTTAACCTGTTTTTTTTTTCTTTTTGGTGCTAAAGGCTCAAACTCAGGGCCTCGCCCATGCTAAGCATATATTCTGCTATTGAGCAACACCACCATCCCTAATCTTAACCATTTTTAAAGGTGCAGTTCAGAAGTGTTAAGTACATTCACAAGGTTTTGCAAACAGATCTCTAGAACATTTCCATCTTGGAAATCTGGAACTCCAAACACATAAAGCAATAGTTTCCTCTTGTCTCTCTTTCCCTAGCCCCTGGTAATCACCATTCTACTTTATTTTTGTATGACTTTGACAACTTCAGATATCTCATATAAGTGGACTCATACAACATGTGATGGGTTTATTTCACTTAGCATAATATTCTCAAGGTTCATTCATGTTGTAACATAACAGGATACTAAATCATATCCCATTTTATATTTATATGTATGTATATATATATATATATATATATATATATATATATATATATTGTTTACTCATTCATCTATTAATAGATATGTATGTTGCTTCTACTATTTGACTATTATAAATGGTTGCAATATGAGCATGGGTGTGCAGATCTCTTTGAGACCTTGCTTTCAATTCTTTTTGACATACATGCAGAAGTGGGAATGTTGGATCATATGTTAGTTCTATTTAGAATTTTTTGAAGACCCTCCATATTGTTTTTCATAACAGTTGCACCATTTTTCAGTCTTTGCAGTGAACAGTGGTTCTAATTTCTCCATATCCTTGCCTGCCGCAGTCTGGCTGGGCACAAATCACGAGCCACTGAAGCAGGAAC